GTGTTATGCACAAACAATGAATCATGGAACACTACATCAAAAACTAATGATGTAATGTATGGTGATTAACATAACAATAAAAAATTTTTTAAAAACCACACTACTTTTCTTGAAAAAGAAGACATTTTTAACTTATTACACAGAGTGACTATATGTAACAATAGCAATAATAGAGGTAGGTTTACTGTAGGTAAACAATGTCCCAAGAACACATCTCACCTTCCTTCTGTAAAAGGAACTTCCGAGTCCTCCAGCGTTTCACTCAAGGTATAACCACACCATAGCCCAAGTATGAGGGAAGCCCTTGCAAATTCCAGATGGACACCCCCACCCCCGCAACAATGCCTAATGCATTCTATTCCTTTAAAGTATGTTCAATAAATAATGACTGTTATCTATGTCATTTTAATCTCTCAACCTCATCTAATTGATACTATGATCCCTACTTATATGAAGACAGAGGGGCTCATAACCGTTACATGCTCAGTCACAAAACAAGTGACAAAGACAGAACACAGACTCAGGCCTGATTCCACAGTCCTGCTTTGATGATTTTCCCATCAAACTGTGCTGGTTGGATGTCAGACCTTTGATATCATGTGTTAGATATGCCTTTTTCTTTTAAATGTATTATCTAGTCCTTGAAGTCAGAGTCACATCAGAGATTAGGGTAAGTGTATCTTGAGGAGGAAGGAGAGGGGACAAAGAAAACAAGATTTTCTTGGGTTCTTTGTTCTAATTTACCCATACCATCACTTACTGTGTCAAATACGTGCATGCAAATAATGCATGTTTATCGTGGGAAAGTCGAAAACTCAGATAAGCCAAAAAAAAGGAAAGAAAAATCCACCCTAACTAAATAAAGAACACCTGCAATCCCACCATGTACAGATTTCTGTCATCATCTGATCTCAGCAGGACTAAGCAGAGCATGACAGTATGGTCCTACCTAACATCTCTCTCCTTGTTATACAAACGTAATCAGACTTTTAGTCCAGAAAGTGCTGCAAATGTCAGGTAAAGTGGCAGTAGGAAAATCTTTGGGTTTTAGAAAATCATCCCTTCATCATAGTCTCATTTAGATATTCATAAAGCATGTTGGCATCTCCATGATGCAAAGTTGAGAAGTTGAAATAATTTTTTTTTTACCGGCAAACTATCAGTTAAGTAAAAAGGCTCGGTGTAGGCTGATAATTTCCATACTGAAAACATTAAACAACATATTAAGAAAAATCTCTTAATACAGTCATTAGCAGTGTCTCATAGAATTAGACAGTTGTAACTATCACACTGAAGGCAGAATAAGGCAGATATAGACCTGGGTTTCAATCCTGGCTTCAGCACTTACTTCATGACCTTGAGCAAATCATTCAAATTTTGTGGGACTCAATTTACTTATCTGGAAAGTGGGGATGATGGTATTAACTATTTAGAAAGACCCTACAGAAATGTTGTGAGGACTAAATCATTTAAAATATAAAATGAGCTTAACAGGGCGCCTGGGTGGCTCAGTCGGTTAAGCGTCTGCCTTTGGCTCAGGTTGGGATTGAGTCCCACATCCGGCTCCCTGCTCGGCGGGGAGTCTGCTTCTCCCTCTGACCCTCCCCCCTCTCATGCTGTCTCTCTCTCTCAAATAAATAAATAAAAATCTTTAAAAAAAAAAATGAGCTTAGCATAACATCCTGCACACGGAGAGTGGTAAAAGGACCTTTTAACAAGTTAAAATCTTCTTGAAATTTAAAGACTTTAAGCCTTAATCTTTTTATCTTTCCTAAAAAATATCTATTTTCTAAGAAGGTAGATAACCTTTGGTCTCCATCAGACAATGACTAGCTTTAAGAGCATTGCTGGATTTACTAAGAATTAAGATAGTAGGCTCTATTTAAAAAGATAAGAGGGGAGCACCTGACAGGCTCAGTTGGTAGAGCATCTGGCTCTTGATCTGAGGGTAGTGAGTTTGAGTCCACGTTGGATATAGAGATTACTTTAGAGAGAGAGAGAGAGAGAGCGCGCGGCACCTGGGTGGCTCAGTTGGTTAAGTGTCCGACTCTTGATTTCAGCTCAGGTCATGATCTCAGGGTTGTGGGATTGAACCCCACATCGAACTCTATGCTCAGGGGATTCTCTCTCTCCTCCCCTGCTCACGCACTCTCTCTTAAATAATAACACCTGTTTCTCTTTTAAATCTTTTGTTTGTTTGACAGAGAGAGAGACAGTGAGAGAGGGAACACAAGCAGGGGGAGTGGGAGAGGGAGAAGCAGGCTTCCCGCCGAGCAGGAAGCCCCATGCGGGACTCAATCCCAGGACCCTGGGATCATGACCCGAGCCGAAGGCAGACGCTTAATGACTGAGCCACACAGGCGCTCCTCAAATAATAAACCTTAAAAATAAAAAAGAGAGAGAGAGAGGTAATAGGAATAAGTAACTATTACTTATTACTATTATGCTCATCAACTCAGCTACAGATGAATTAATCCAGGACTCATCTGGGTACTCAGTGCTGTTCAGAAATCTTTTATTCATTCCTAATTAGTAACTTTTCTCATTTTCTGAATTTACCTATCTTCCTTTCCCTCTCAGTAGGGGAGAATAAAGACCATTGAGATTGAGCTTCCTACTTTTTTTTTTAAACAATGTCAAAAAGTCAGTGTATTTAACCATACTTAGCTTGTAACAGAGCAAATGGATAAATGGAATAATAATTCATGTTACACCCTATTATTATATGAACAGGCAACAGAAAAAGTTGGTAAAGGAAGGCAGAGGAACTCTATCTTTAAGAATTAGAACCAAGGGGCTCCATAATCATCTGGTATCCACTCAAATGTTGTACCTATGGTTAGAAATGTACATGATGGGAATTCCAGGGATCTTCCAGATCCTTCATTTAAGGTCCGGTCAACTGTGGCCACAATGTAACACTTGTGAGCTACTCTGTACTAAGCAGTCATCTGTATAAGTTCCTTTGTGTGTTGTTTGTAATCCTTCAAATCTTGGATCCCTGGCAATCTTTAGGGTTACACAATACTTCAGCCCCAATTTCTCAATTTCAACCATTATGCAGTCAGTTATTCAAGGGATACACTTGGCATACAGACAGTCCATCATTGACTATACTAAGTTGAGTTTGGCTTTAATGGAAAAGTTTGATAAGGTTGTTATCAACCAGGATGTGGCCAGATGGGCCCAGCCACATGTTATATTGGAAGAATAAGCAGGAAGGATGTTGGGAGACTTCTCTTTCCTTCAGTGCACTGGGATCTTCCTTTTCTTTCTTTTTTAGGTGTTAATCTATTCCTCTCTTTAAGTCTCTCATCTCTGAGTCTAAGCATTCACTTCATGGTCATATACTTTGCCTTCTTTTGTTTCCCCATGTTCACACTGCACCTATTTCTTCTGGGATCACCTCCTACTTACTCCTTCTTAAAAAGCCTCTATCTTGAAGCTTTCTGGAGGGCATTAGATAATTCAACTATTCAGCATCTTGTGCCAAACTACTCGATTTGCTATCATTCCCCATACTTCTCCATTACCCTGGTTAACTAGGATTGTGTATAGGTATCAAGAACTTTAATATATGATTTTTTTTTACTAAGAATGGCAATTCTAGAGAAAAAGAATCATAAACGTGTGTTGTTGATTTATTGGAATAACAAATACCAAAGAATACACAAAGGAATTACATAAATAAATTATGATACAGACACGGAATATTCTGCAGCCATTAAAAATAATGTTGAAAAAGGATATTTATTGAAATAGAAAAATCTTTACAATGTGAAGAAGCAGGCTACAAAACAGTATGGATAATGTATCATTTTTGTGAAGAAACTAATGCATGGAAAAACTACTAGGACAAACATAAAAATATGAACATCGTTATCTTTGAACTATGGAATTTTTTTTCTTTATACTCTTTTGGTGTTTTCCCAGAACTTCTGCGTTATACTTGTATTAATTTTGTAAATAGAAAAAAGCAAAATGGATGCTGACTTAATGAGAGAAAGGAAGAGGGAAGGTGCCAGAACCCTGGGGAATATCTACATTTAAGGTGTTTGAATGAGGAAGAGGAATTGACACCTTGGACTTGTACTTTTTAAGAACTGATTTTTCTTTTTGCCAGTTCTTGCTAATAGATCTATTTTAGCTTCCTAGCTGCCTATCAGTATTATATACTTAACCTAGCCTTAAGCATCTAGGTTAAAATAAGGGGAAAAGACACACATTTTTTTTTGTAAAACAAAACATACCCACAAACCAATTATTTCTTATAGTCCTAGGAATCCCATGAACAGATGCTGGCCATACACATAGCACAATCTTTCAAGTCCTAAAGAGGTCTTTTATTTTAATACAGCGTAGGTAAGAAATCCTCCTGGGTGAAGAGGTACTTCTGGAAATTGTATTCATTCTTTCGGCCTAAAGTAGTATCATTTGAAAATATTTCTAGAGAAACACTGCTTCTGTAGCTTTGAAAGAACCCATTCCATCCCACCCTAGAGGGTTTAGGAGTAACCCAAGGAATGACCAAGCTAATCCATCTCACAATTTTGGTCACTGCTCTAAAAGCAGAGTTATCATATAAAACATCTCATACAGAGGCGCCTGGGTGGCTCAGTCGTTAAGCCTCTGCCTTCGGCTCAGGTCATGGTCCCAGGGTCCTGGGATCGAGCCCCGTATCGGGCTCTCTGCTCCGTGGGAAGCCTGCTTCTCCCTCTCCCACTCCCCCTGCTTGTGTTCCCTCTCTCGCTGTGTCTCTCTCTCTCTGTCAAATAAGTAAATAAAATCTTAAAAAAAAAAAATCTCAGGCAGAGGACTCAAAATATGATTCGTACTCACAGACACTACTAACAAATAGCCAAAATAAAATAGTGCTCCACGAAAGCAAAACGAAACAAAACAAAAACAAAAACTGCATTTACATGTATTAAATGCATTTACATAAAAAATAAATATAATAATATACAGGAAAACCATTTGTTAAAGAATGACATATATTAGGCAATAGAGAATTAGGCAAACCGGAAAATCTGAAGTGTTCTTGTCATGTAAATTTAGGAAATTATATAGAGAAAACAGAATCTACGGGTTTAAGAATGTATTGTAAAGAGACTTTCTCTCTAGATTTTCTCTACAACCCTTTCAGAGTACAACTTATATGAATAAATACTTTGAGAAGCACCTGCTTTGAAACAGACTTCCCACTGGCCATGTTAATAACTAACAATCACACAAGAATCAAGATTACTTTTCAAGATTTGATTGCAGGTACTTCTTATATAATTGAACTTACATGGCTGTAGAAACGTAAAGACTTCAAATCTGGGCTTAGGGAATCCTAAGGTTAAACTCCAAAGCACTGTTTGCAACCAAAAGGAGCTAGGAAGTACCAGAAAATGGGTATCTACCAGCTAGCTTAACTGCAGCCAGAAATACTATCACTGTGAAAAGTCGGTCCCCAGGGAACATTAGCTCCTGAAGGGCAGACATGTTTGTTTGTGTTTTGTTCAGGGCTGCACCCTAGCATCTAGAACAGGGCCTCCCACGCAGTAGACACTCAGGATTTTAACTAACGAATGAATCAGAGAGACCATTCTGGGTGTACATGAGGAGTCAATCCAAATTCATTTCATGTATCAATACCGCATAATCTCCCACCAACTGCAGAAGCTGTTACTGAATGACTAACATGTTAGGAAGCTAACTGTACTGTCACTGTATACTTCTGAGTAAAATGAGCGATAAAAAACGATGGTTTTTACTCTTGAGGAGCTGGGACCCAAGTGATTGTGAAATTGTTATGCCTGTTACTAAAGAAAGCATGACAGTATTATGAGGACACGTAACATTCCCGGTATTTCCATCTTCTTACCACCCTCCCAAATGCAGTGAGGAAGCCAGTGCTAAGGTACAGGGTCCCTCAGACACTGGTGCCTCACCCAAGTCACTTGTATCAGCATCTGCCTGGCAGCGCTAACAGAGGGAAGACATTCATCATCTGTTTGGTGTTCCCACCTTGTCCATGCAGCTTCAAATATAACTGCGCTGAGCTAGATGAGTCAGCAGCTGGTCTTCCAAAAGCTAGTGCATCACTCCCAAAGCAAGAAGGAACAAGTTCACACTTCAGAGGGCTGCATCAGTGCCAGAAGTATCCATGTTGCCTCAAGGTTTCAGACTCCCCAGTGATCTTTCACTCGATGGATACCAAGGCAGAGGCTGCAGAAAAACACAACTGTGGCCCCAGGCAATATAGGAAATGGTGTTTGTTCATACTGTGGATTAAGTGCTTTGAAGGATCAAAACGCAGAAGACCGCTACATTCAACATATAAGGTTTTCTTAATGGTAAAGCACTAAAAAAAATGTGAATAAGTCATTCTTTTATTTTTCAAAAGCGAAAATGACAAGTCGCAACTTGCCTTTGGAAAAGGCATTAAAGAATATCGGGGTAATAAGCTATCTATCTCATGGAGACAGTAGCCTAAGACTCAATTATCACACAGCTCTCAAAGAAAGTCCAATTAAATAAATCTCAGAATAATATGCTTTTAAGTAAAACAAAACAAAAAATATCAACAAAAAGTTATAAAGAATCCATAAAGTGGTATATGAAGAAAAAGGAAAATCTGGAAATCCACATACTGAGAGTGCTCTATTGAAATCAAGGAAGCCCAAATCCTAAAACAGAAAAAACAAATATGTTAAAACACAGTATTTTAAGAGTCAAATGACGTTACTGTAGATGCACATTTTAACGCTTCATTTACTCAGGACATTTTTTTCTTTCTCTTGGAGCACTTCTATATATACTGTAGGAGATCATGTGAATGACAGTGCAGAGATCTGCCTTCTCAATGAGGCCCTTGAGTTTTAAATATCAAATCTGAGTCTGGAATCCCAATTAAAAGTTTATATAATAGACTACAGAGAATGAAACTGCTTTCTAAACTGCATTTGCTTAACTCTTCCACATTATGGCTTAAAAACAATCTGTAAACTTTTTAAAGAGACACAACAATTTACAGTATGAAAACAGGGCTATGTGAAACTATACATGCTTTCTCATAAAGTAGGACTGACAATTTCCAAAATGAAGATGCTTACTGCAAAATGACAGAGTTGGTGGGGGATGGGGTGGGGTGGGTAGTGCAGAACCACCAGTGGAAGGCACCAAAATCCTGGATTCTACATTCAGCTTTGTACTGATTAGTTGTATCTTAGTCTCGACTTACTCAGGTCTCAATTTATTCCCTGGTAAGAAGAGGAAGATGGATCTCTAAGCTTCATTTAAATCCAAAGATTCTTATAGTTTATAAGAAAAGATTCGAAAAACTTTTTGGCCAATCAGTTGAATAAATTCCTCAGATCCTGACAGGGTCTGTCACTGTTCAACTCTCATGAAAATAACTATAAAGTAGATCCCATATTTTATTGTGAGAAAAGAAAAAAAAATCTACCTTTGTGGCAAAATTAAACTTCATACACTACAACATAGAAAATAAATGTCTGTTCCTTTCCTGGCCTCTAGAAGCACTCTCTGAGACAGAATCAACTAAAAACCCTAGGATTATGACTATGGCCAAAACGTCTAGCCTGCTTTGGGGTGCCTGGATGGCTCAGTCGGCTGGGGGTCTGGCTCTTGGTTTTGGCTCAGGTCATGATCTCATGGGTTGTGGGATTAAGCCCCATGGTAGGCTCCACGCTCGGTGGGGAGTCTGCTTGAGGAATCTGTCCCTCTGCCCCCCAACCCGCTCACATGGGTGCTCTCTCTCTCAAATATGTAAGTCTTAAAAAAAAAAAAAAAAAGTCTAGCTTGTCTTTCTCTCTGCCTTCTCTCTGAGAGCTGCTAGATGGTTCAAAGTGAACTATCACCTAACAAGTACCCTGCACCCTACATGTTATATAGGACTTCTCCATTGCTGAGGAGATAGTGCTAGGGAATCATTTTCCTGATAGTCTATCAAAATCCTGAGAAAAATCTAGCATTATTGGAAGATTATTTATTAGAATAGACTAATGTATGGCCCTGGAAATAAAAACCTTATAGTAGCAGAGTCCTAGAGAACCAGAGAGTTGAACCAGGAAGATTGATGATATCTCTGACTTATCCAAATGTACTCCCTACTTAAAGCTGCAGCCAGTTAATAATTCTCATGGGCAGGGCCAAACTTTAGGTTAGAGTAAGTACTTATAGTAGTTCAGGGTTAAGACTCAATCAACCTTCAGGTTTAGGGAAGAAGAAAAGGAAGAGGTTTAAGGATCATATTGACCCCAGGAAAGCAGGAGAGCAGCAAAGACATGCTGTACTGAACTCTCTACAACACATACTTTCCTCATAAACATCATGTAATACTATGAAATATCTTTTTGCTTTGATGTTATCTTTTTGTTGTGAACTCTGTCTTCTAACCATAATCTCTGCAAAGAAAGAGAGACTGAATCAGGAACTGCACAAGCAATGAGGGTACATAAAAATGCTTTACAAAAGACTAGAGATGGTTCAGGTAAATGGAGACCTGTGTTTCTAGATAAGCAAAATGAGAGGTTTATAACATTAGATGATCTTAAATTTCCTGTGGCTCTCACATTTTCATAATTTTATACAGATAATATACCATAATAAAGATTATACATGCATATGACTTACTGTTTCTTTTAAAAAATATTTATGGATATAACTGTGTTTTTCTAAATGTCTCATTAGTAATACTCAGTCTTGTAAGTCTGGTTCCATAATAATCTATAATGTAACTACTTCCATCTGAAGGTCCAACGATCTAGAAGAGAAAATTTTCAAAATTACCATTTTACAAAAGACATTTTCACAATACTTTGTGTTTACTTTGCTCGGTTGCTACTAAATTATTTCAGCAGCACCAAAATACAACTTAACTGAACTCAAGCAAAAAAAGTAACTTAGTGGCCCTGGTAGCTGAAAAGGATATTGGGGACGATCACAGGATCCAAAGAGCTGCAGGAACCAAGGCCTCAAGGACTGAAATTCCATGAACAGACACCACCACCCCCCCCTTGGTTTGACCTGTGGGCCTTTTAGCTCTTCTGCCTTCATTCTGCAGAGAGGCACTCCCACTTGCTTGCCAACAGCTCCAGATTTACATATTCAAAGCTCAGCAGCTCCCGGTAGAAAGTATAATTTTCTTCCTCAGTGTTTGTATACAAATTCCAGGGAAGGACTGATTTTGGGTTTTATGCCTACTGCTGGACAAATTATGATAGCCAAGGGAATAGAATTAATGTGATTGGCTAGGCCAGTCCCTGTGGGAGTGGGAGGTAGTGTGAGGGACAATCCTTCCAGAACCACACGGAATGGAAGAGATAGAAAAAAAACAACACATGCTCATTATAGTCATCTTGTCCACTTAATCACATTTCTGACAATCCAGTTAACATGATTTCTACAAATTATTCTTTAAGATAGCAATCTTCATGGGGCGCCTGAGTGGCTCAGTTGGTTAAGCGTCTGCCTTCAGCTCAGGTCATGATCCCAGGGTCCTGGGATCGAGCCCCACATCAGGCTCCCTGCTCCACGGGAGGCCTTCTTCTCCCTCTCCCACTCCCTCTGCTTGTGTTCTCTCTCTCGCTGTCTCTGTCAAATAAATAAAATCTTTTTTTTTTATTCTTATGTTAATCCCCATACATTACATCATTAGTTTTAGATGAAGTGTTCCATGATTCATTGTTTGTGCATAACACCCAGTGCTCCATGCAGAATGTGCCCTCCTCAATACCCACCACCAGGCTAACCCATCCTCCCACCCCCCTCCCCTCTAGAACCCTCAGTTTGTTTTTCAGAGTCCATCGTCTCTCATGGTTCGTCTACCCCTCCGATTTCCCCCGCTTCATTCTTCCCCTCCCGCTACCTTCTTCTTCTTCTTTTTTTTTTTTCTTAACATATATTGCATTATTTGTTTCAGAGGTACAGATCTGAGATTCAACAGTCTTGCACAATTCACAGCGCTTACCAGAGCACGTACCCTCCCCAGTGTCTATCACCCAGTCACCCCATCCCTCCCACCCCACCCCCCACTCCAGCAACCCTCAGTTTGTTTCCTGCGATTAAGAATTCCTCATATCAGTGAGATCATATGATACATGTCTTTCTCTGTTTGACTTATTTCACTCAACATAATACCCTCCAGTTCCATCCACGTCGTTGCAAATGGCAAGATCTCATTCCTTTTGATGGCTGCATAATAACAAATAAATAAAATCTTAAAAAAAAAAAAAAGAAGATAGCAATCTTCAAACTGTAGCCTTAGGGGCAAACAAAGATTTACCAAGATGTATGTGAGCCCAGATGATTTAAAGGAAATCAATTTTGAGACCCTTAATTCCCATAAATACTCTTTGTAAAAGTGATCCACCTGATACCAAGCCCTGGTAGGGGCAGAGTTCCCTTCCCACTTCCCTCTCCCTGTGGTCCTTTCTCCAGGAGAAACTTGATGACAATAAACCACACGTGCCATCAAAGCAGGTATTACGATGGAACAGTGCCTCTGATGAGCCAAAGAGATAAGTCAAAATACTGGACTTCAGGAAATCTCCTTTAAATCATTTTTTAAAAAGATTTTATTTATTTATTTGAGAGCGAGAGAAAGCACAAGCAGGGGGCGTGGCAGAGGAAGAGGGAGAAACAGGCTCCCCGCTGAACAGGGAGCCCAACTCCACTCAGGGCTCGATCCCAGGACCCTGAAATCATGACCTGAGCCAGAGGCAGCTGCTTAACCAACTGAACCACCCAGGCGCCTCAGGAAATCTCCTTTAATCAAGAGTCCAAAAATATGCTCGCTCTGCCTCATCTTTTTCAAAAGTTGCATTCCCAGTAACATTTTACTTTTTTTGCTTAAAAGTAATTTGCTAAATCATTTTTATAATATGTAATATGCTTATGCTGTTTTGATCAACTGTGTATCAACAATTATAATGACAACAATCCAGTAATTACAGAAAATTTTATAATCTTTTAATGAATCATGAAAATCATGATAATGAAAATGATCAGCAGAAGATTTTTCAAGCATAAAAAACATAGAGAAAGTCAATTATCATATGGTTTCACTTATCTGTGGAACATAAGAAATAGCATGGAGGACATTAGGAGAAAGAAGGGAAAAATGAACGGGGGGGGGGAATCGGAGGGGGAGACGAACCATGAGAGACTACGGATTCTGAGAAACAAACTGAGGGTTTTAGAAGGGAGGGGGGTAGGGGGATAGGTGAGCACAGTGATGGGTATTAAGGAGGGCTCTTATTGCACGGAGCACTGGGTGTTATACGAAAACAATGAATCATGGAACACTACACCAAAAACTAATGATGTACTGTATGGTGACTAATATAACATAATAAAATAAATAAAATTTAAAAAATATTACATTAGGATAAAATTCTGTGGGAGAATGGAACTAGAAATACAAATTCAAGGAGAAAAAGAAACTATGTAAAAATCACAAATGGTTAGTGAAGGGTTCATTCATGTCTTTTTAAATGAATGATATTTAAAATTCTATGGTATTTATATTCTGTTGGATACATTTTTAAATTGATATAACAGTTTTATTTAAATATGTCAATATTTGCAAACCAGAAATTATATCCTTTGCAACTATTTAAACTTATGATGGAAAACTTAAATGTCAACTTAAAAATGTGTGGAGGGTAGGGATTTTTTAAAAAATTCTTTCAGGGGTTATACAAACAGAGTTTGAAGAATACTGTTGCAGTGCATGCTTCGTTTTAAAAATAAGTTTGGTTTTTAAAACTATTTGACAAATACTGGATTCCTACAACACTCCAGGCACTGTGTTAGGCATTATACACGTAACAGTGAATGAGATACAATCTCTGCCCACGAAGAGCTTATACTAGTGAACTATAAATATTAATATTCAAATAACACAAAGCACTTTTGTGCTAAATACCATGCTGGGTACTGTTATGCACTCTGCTTATTTTCCAAAGATTAAATTAATTTGGTTTGATATTTATGAATGTTATTTAAGAATGTAATAAAACCTCAGGGCACCTGGGTGGCTCAGTGGGTTAAACGTCTTACTCTTGATTGCGGCTCTGGTCCTGATCTCAGGGTCTTCGGATCAATCCCTGGGTCAGGCTCTGCACTCAGCTGGAGTCGCTTGAAATTCTCTCCCTCTCTCTCTTTCTGCCCCTACCCCTGCTCTTTCTCTTGAATGAATAAATCAATCTTTTTTTAAAAATTAAAAAATAAAAAAGAATTTAATAAAACCTTTTCAGTGGTCAAGGTCCCACAGGAAACTACTCTGAGCATTAAGCCAAGAAAGAGAAGAACGAGTGACTAGGAGTCACAACGTGTTTTGAGACTGGACGAGGGGAACAAAGAAAAACTAAAGCCCAGCCTGTAGAAATAAATCAAATCATATGGCAAAAAACTGCCTAATTAGGAATATGTGCATAGCTTGGGACCAGGCCTTTTGTCCCATTCTCTTTTTCTTCCTTTGCCGTCTCCCCTATTCCTGTTGAAAAAAAGTATTCAAGGCTGGAAAAAGGAAAATACATGATTAGGTGACCTTTTCATATCATGCATTTCTATTAAGTCTACCTGAGGCTCACTTGCCTCTCTTGGGAAATGTAAAACTAACTAAAGCCAATTAGGACCCATATGTTTTACAATCTTGTAAAGTCAGTAGTTAACATGTAGAAAAATAATGTGTTTTTTTTGTGTTTTTGTTTTGTTTCCTCTGTTCTGTAGAGAAGATAGCCCAGAAGGATACAGTTTTATTACCTGGTAATACATGATCTAACTCTGTATCTAACTCAGCCATTTTCTTACCATTTCTCTCCACTCAAACTCTGTCACTGTGGCTCCTCAACAACCAGTTCTAGCATGGGAATTCCACTCCTCCTTCCAGAGACTGGGTCTGCCTGGGCATGGAATCTAATTCTGGCCAACCACCGATGATGCAAGTTCACTGTTGGCATATCTGACCTTAAGAAAATATGTAGGGGGGGACACGGGTTCTTTCTGCTGGGGACAATCACTATATAATGAAGTGATGCTAACCAAAAGACCTGAAGATGGCAAAGAGAAAGAAGGAAGGAGAGAGGGAGAAATAGGAGGGAAGGAAGGGAAGAGAATGGGAGGGAGGGTCCACCATTATGTCTTTCAGCTCTAAATTAACAAATCTTATAACTACCTTAAATCTAGATTCTTGGTATGATAGAGTAAACTACCGTATTATGAAAGCAAATTTAGGGCGCCTGGGTGGCTCAGTTGGTTAAGGGACTGCCTTCGGCTCAGGTCATGATCCTGGAGTCCCTGGATCGAGTCCCGCATTGGGCTCCCTGCTCGGCAGGGAGTCTGCTTCTCCCTCTGACCCTCCCCCCTCTCATGTGCTTGCTCTCTCTCATTCTCTCTCTCTCAAATAAATAAATAAAATCTTTAAAAAAAAAAAAATGAAAGCAAATTTAAATTGAGGTTTCTGTTACTTGTAGCCAAAACACCTGATAATGCACTAGTTTTCAGCGCCCCCCCCTCACTACTGCCAGATCACCAAAGCACGGCTACTCTCTGCTAAAACAACCTGAAGAGCTGCCCCAAAGACAAATTCGGTCACTGTGGGAAAGCACCAGAGGAAAGGAGAACTGGAAAAGGAGGAATCCTCTCTGGATCTCAGGTTTTTGTATCCATATAAAGAGGAATAGAATAAGCTGATCTATACGGTACTTTTTAAGTTCTACATCTTATATGACTATGACATTTAAATGTAAACACATCTAC